CCTAGACTCTTCTTCAGAAGAAGGGTCTAGGCCCGAAACGGCAGCTTTTCTGCTCCTCTGATGCTGCTGACCTACTGTGTTCATCCAGCTCTACACCTTGTTATCTCAGATTCTGCAGCATCTGCAGTTCCTACGATCTCTGAACTATGGTGGGTTGGGTTCCTGCTTGAGATTTTTTGTTTTTAACTTTTTAACCGTGCTCCCCCGCCATACCCAAAACATGTCCACCTGTTTTAAGGAGTTGAAGTTATCCTTTCAGTGTCTGAAGCAGCATGTGTAATTTAGAATTGTGAACTCAATATTAAGTCGGGTACAGAATGAGAAATAAAGAGAAGGAAATAAAAATAAGATTAAGAACAAGATAATAAAGGACAGAAAGAAAAACTTTTTTGAAAAATTGAGAATTTCCAAAAGTTAACATCTAAAGAAAAGTGACTATACACTTTTGAAAGGAAATTTTCAGGTGGCTGTCAGTAATGAGAACAAAAAATACTGTTAAAAATTCATTTGTCCTTGAATTAATAAGTCCCAATTTTTCTGATGTGTTCAGTCGTTATAAAGTGGGTGAGTACTGCAACTTCACTTCCATTATCAATGCCAAGTTTCTCGGTAAGAAACCATGAGAATGAAGCATGTGGATGGAAGTGGAAATCAGACAGCAACTTTTGATTTCCATATTTAACAGACTATTTGCGGTTGCCAGAGTTGATGTCCAGTTTACACCTTAATATTGTTTAACACTAATAACCTCACTGTCTTCAAACTATAAAATCTGGACCACATGATGTGTTCAAAAAGTGTAGTTAATAATGACTTTGCAATTTATCTTGTTAGGATGGAAGAATAAAAGTCGGTGATAGAATCCTGGCTGTGGATGATGAAAATGTCGTGTCACAACCTCCAGAAAAGGTAATCACATGATTCATTTCAAGTTCCTCTTGTTCACCGAGTGGGAGGGGGAGTTGAAATGGTTCGCGACTGGGAGGTGCAGTTGTTTGGTGCGAACCGAGCGTAGGTGTTCTGTAAAGCGGCCCCCAAGCCTCAGCTTGGCTTCCCCGATGTAGAGGCCACATCTGAAACAGCGGATGCAGTATACCACATTAGCAGATGTTCAGGTGAGGTTGGGATTGGACCGGAGGGCTGCACGTTCTGTTGGGGAGAGGGTCCAATCCCAACCTCACCATAAAACCCGCGGACGAGGGAGGCACAGTTGTAGTATGGCGCACTGACCTCTACATCGCCGAGGCCAGGCGCCAACTCTCCGACACCACCTCCTACCGCCTCCTTGATCCTGACCCCACCCCCGACCACCAAAACATCATATCCCAAACCATCCACAACCTCATCACTTCAGGTGACCTCCCACCCACAGCCTCTAACCTCATCATTCCCCAAACCCGAACCGCCTGTTTCTATCTTCTTCCCAAAATCCACAAACCTGACCGCCCCAGTCAACCCATTGTCTCCGCCTGCTCCTACCCCACTGAACTCACCTCCACTTATCTCGACTCCATTTTCTCCCCCTTGGTGCAGGAAAACTCCCCGCCTACATCCGTGACACCACCCACGCCCTCCACCTCCTCCAACACTTCCGATTCCCTGGTCCCCAACACCTCATCTTTACCATGGACGTCCAGTCCCTATATACTTGCATTCCCCATGCAGATGGCCTAAAGGCGCTCCGCTTCTTCCTGTCCCGCAGGCCCAACCAGTCCCCCTCCACTGACACCCTTATCCACTTAGCCGAAGTCGTCCTCACCCTCAACAACTTCTCTTTCAATTCCCCCCACCCCTTACAGACAAAGGGGATGGCCATGGGTACCCGCATGGGCCCAAGCTGTGCCTGCCTCTTTGTAGGTTACGTGGGACAATCCCTCTTCTGTAGCTATCCCCTACCTCTTCCTCCGTTACATCGATGACTGTATCGGCGCCACCTCGTGCTCCCACGAGGAGCTCGAACAGTTCATCCACTTCACTAACACCTTCCACCCCAACCTTAAGTTCACCTGGACCATCTCCAATACCTCTCTCTCCTTCCTGGACCTCTCTATTTCCATCAGTGGCAACCACCTGGAAACTGATATCCATTTCAAGCCTACCGACTCCCACAGCTACCTACAGTACACCTCCTCTCACCCACCTTCCTGCAAAAAGGCCATCCCCTATTCCCAATTCCTTCGCCTCCACCGCATCTGCTCCCGGGATGAGATATTCCACTCCCGGACTTCCCAGATGTCCTCGTCCTCACTTTTCAAGGACCGCAACTTCCCCTCCATAGTGGTCGAGAATGCCCTTGACCGTGTCTCTCGCATTTCCTGCAACTCATCCCTCACAACCCCTTCCCGCAATAATAACAAAAACAGAATCCCCTCATCCTCACATACCACCCCACCATCCTCCGGATCCAACGCATCATCCTCCGACACTTCCACCATCTGCAATCTGACCCCACTACCAAAGACATTTTTCTCTCCCCACCCTTATCTGCTTTCCAGAGGGACCACTCTCTCTCCTGACTCCCTTGTCCACTCCACACTCCCCACCAGCCCCACCACCCCCAGCACTTCTCCCTGCAACCGCAGGAAGTGCTACACCTGCCCCTCCACCTCCCCCCTCACCCCCATCCCAGGCCCTAAGAAGACCTTCCACATCAAACAGATGTTCACCTGAACATCTGCTAATGTGGTATACTGTATCCGCTGTTTCAGATGTGGCCTCTACATAGGGGAAACCAAGCGGAGGCTTGGGGACCGCTTTGCGGAACAAGTACGCTTGGTTTGCGCCAAACAACTGCACCTCCCAGTCGTGAACCATTTCAACTCCCCCTCCCACTCCTTGGATGACATGTCCATCCTGGGCCTCCTGCAGTGCCACAACGATGCCACCCGAAGGTTGCAGGAACAGCATCTCATATTTCGCTTGGGAACCCTGCAGCCCAATGGTATCAATGTGGACTTCACAAGCTTCAAAATCTAAACCCCAACCTCCGACCGCATCCCAAAACCAGCCCAGCTCGTACCCACCTCCCTAACCTGTCCTCCCACCTATCCACTCCTCCTACCGCAAGCCCCACCCCCATCTCCTACCTACTAGCCTCATCCTGCCTCCTTGACCTGTCCGTCCTCCCTGGACCGACCTATCCCCTCCCTAACTCCCCACCTACACTCACATTTACTGGCTCCAACCCGCCTCCTTGACCTGTCTGTCTCCTCTCCACTTATCTTCTCCTTTATCCATCTTCTATCCGCCTCCCCCTTTCTCCCTATTTATTTCAGAATCCCCTTGCCCTCCCCCATTTCTGAAGAAGGGTCTAGACCCGAAACATCAGCTTTCCTGCTCCTCTGATGCTGCTTGGCCTGCTGTGTTCATCCAGCTCTACACCTTGTTGTCTCAGATTCTCCAGCATCGGCAGTTTCTACTATCTCTGTAATGATTCAGGCTGACAATTTTTTCTCAAAATGCGTGGATGATGGGCATAACAAGTTGGAGCTGATGTACAGAAGTAGGTGAAGAGAAAAATACAAAAGGGAAGACCTATAATAGGTTGAAGAGCAAGAGAGCTTAAATAACAAAAAGGTTGATGGTACAAGGTAAAAGAAGGCAATGTAAAAATGTAAATGTGGTTCTGAAGGAAATATGAATGATCATAAACAGAATAATTAATAACAACTTGTGTATGAAAGAAAATGAAAGCAGAGGTTATGATCTGAAATTGTTGAATTCAACATTATATCTCGAATGTGTAAAATGGCTAACTGAATGATGAGATGCTGTTTTCAAGCTTCCATTTAATTCGAACTATGTAGAAGGCCATGTTCAGAGGGCTAACTGAACAAGACAAAACTACCTGCTTAATTGGCAAAACCTCCACCACTTTAGACATTCACTCCTTTCACCATCAACATAGTGGTAGTACTGTATACCATGTACATGGTGTAGTAACTTGACAAGGCTCCTTTGACAGCACCATCCGAACTCTCAATCTCTATCACCTTGAAGGACAAGGGCAATAGAAACGTGGGAGTACCATCAAACTACAAATTCCCCTCCAACCACTCAGCATCCTGACTTGGAACTATATTGCCATTCCTTCACTGTTGCTGACCTGAAATCCTGGAACTTACATCCTAAGAGCACTCTGGGTGTACCTACACCACATGGACTGCAGTGGTGGTCCTCACTGCCACCATTATCTTCACAAGTGCAATTAGGGATATAGATTAAATAGCAGTTTACCCAGGAGCTCCTGTATCCCATGAGCTAATAAAAAGAAGAGAAAAAGGAATTGGGGGAAGAATTAAAATGGTAGGAAACCAGAAGCTTATGAACTGAGCAGAGGTATTTTATGATTGCCCAATCTGCATTTGGTTTTGTAGAGAAGGCTGTTTTGTGAGCAGGAACTACAGTATAGTAAATGGAAGGATGTACAGGACAATTGCTGTTCCACTGGGAAGGACTGTTTTGGAACCGGGGCAGTGAGATGGAAGGAGGTAAAAACGCTTGTGAGACATCCCATGAGCTTACATGAGATAGTATGTCAAAAAAGAAGGAATTGTTGAGGATGAGTGTTGTGGAGAGATCATCCATTGGGACTGTTCAAAGAAGAGAAGATAGTTAACTCCCCTACTCTTCTTTGAAATAGTGTCGTGGGTCTTTTACGTTAATCTCCACTGAAGATATCTGCACTGGAGTGTCAGCCTGAAATTTTAAACTTTAAGTCTCCGAATTGGAACTCAACTCACAAGCAAGTGTGCTACTCTCTGAACCACAGCTAATGTGGAGTTGAGGGGAAGATATGGTTAGAGTCGGCAGAGATGACAGGATAATTTGTTAAGTGATGAGGCTGGCAGGATGGATGATGACGAGAAGGGGACCACCTGTCATGGCTCTGGGTGGGATAGGAAGAGATGAGCACAGTCTTTTTATTTTGCATTTGGGAATAAAGTTGATGCTGGGTCTATAGAGTTGTGCTGTGCAATTAGGCTGTACCAAGGAAGATCTCCTGAGCAGATTAGGTCAGTGACAGTGATGGCCTGATGTTAGATTCTGGAGTTATGATCCAGCTGGGGGTGGTAAGTGATATCAGATAATTGACATTTCAATTTAACAAAGATGACTGATCTGATTTCCCATTTTTTTGTACTTTAAGTTAATTGAAACCAGATATGACATATTTTTAATCAGGATGTTTTGTTCTGGTTATAGGCCATCAACCTTCTCAAAAAAGTAAAAGGAACAGTGAAGTTAACAGTCAGTTGTCAGGACCGGTCCCCACAGCAATCTCTGGTACCACCACCTTCATATCTTAACACAGATGCAGAGGTCTTGGATCGCAGTGAGTACCTCTTAAACATTACTTGTTATATTCCATAAAATGTCATCTAGAATTCCTTTTCAATTCTAACTGGAACGCTAAACTGTGGCTATGTGAGGATTCATTTTACAACACAATACATGGCAAAATCTCACCTCTGTGACAGAAAGTGCTTGTAATAATGTCTAATCAAAGTGCTAGACATAGAAAGGAAAAATGAACTATACAAATATTCCACGTCTAGTGCTGAAATCAGTCTTGAAAGTCTTGGTAAATTCATGCTAAATACATTTAACCACTGTCGAGCAATTATCAAAAAAGCTGATATGCTGTAGTTTTGCCTAATAATTTAATATCCTATAAGTCTGAAGACTTAATGATCAACCTGTATTGCGCTAAATAAATTACACCTCGAATGTTGTAGCCATTATCAGCCCATCAAATTACAGGGAAGATGTTCAAGTGCTGAAGGTACATGGAGAACAGCCATGAGGCTGATACCAATGAGGTTGTAGATTTGCTTGCCAAGTGGGGAGTTTTGATTGCAATCAAACACACTGGCTCGGCAAGCAAGTCTACAACCTCATCCACAACCTGAGCTACAAATCTTCTCAAAAAGCTGATACCAATGTCTGATTTATGAAAGAAGACCTTGTAGGCTTGTGTTCAATAACCTGAAAAGAAGAAACCTGACAAGTGATCTTATTTGTTTTTAATTTGTTCGTGTTATGTGTGTGTTGTTAGCCAGACCAGCATTAATTAATTGTGCTGAAGAAGGTAGTGATGAACTGCTTTCTTGAACAGCTGCAGTCCTCGTGAGTTGCTAGGAGGGAGTTCCAGAAGTTTGACCCTGCGACAGCGAAGAAATTATGATATAATTTAAAGTTAGAATGATGTGTGGCTTGGAAGGAAACTTAACAAGTTGTAATGTTTCTGTACATCTGCTGTCCTTGCCTTTCTAGGTGATAGAGGTCATATGTTTTGTAGTTGTTGTTGGAGCCTTGGTGAATTACTTAGTAAATTTTGTAGATAGTGCATATTGTGGTGAATGGGCAGAATGTTGTAAGTGGTGGATGGGGTACTAGTAAAGCAAGATACTTGAGCTTCTCGTGTGTTGTTGGACCTGTGCCCATCCTAGTAAACTCCCGATTTGTGCTACAGTTGGATGTGTCAGGACTGTAGAGCTTAGATCTGATCCACTGGTTATGGGATCAGTTAGCCTTGTCTGCTGCTTCTGCTATTTGGTGTTCAAGTGATCCTGTGCTGTAGTTTCACAAGGTTGACACCTCATTTTTTTGATACATTTGGCGCTAATCCACACATGTTCTCCTGCACTTTTCATGGAACCAGAGTAGACCTTCTGGCTGTATAGTAATAGTAGAGTGGCGGAATATACCAAGCATTGAGGTTACAGATTATATTGGAGTCCAATTCTTCTGCTTCTGAGAGCCCACAGCACGTCACAGATGCCCAATTTTGAATTTCCCGATGTGATTAAGTTCTGTCCCATTTAACACTTTCTATCCACAATGACTGTGTGGTGGTCACTCTTGTGTAAATGTCATGGAAAGCCACAGCTGCGACAGGTAGATTAATGAGGTCAAGGTCAAGTAGATTTTTCCCTCTTGTTGGATCCCTCACTACCTGCCAAAGATTTAGTCTCACAACAATGAATTTTCAGATTTGACCAGCTCACTCGGTAGTACTGCTGCTGAGCTGCTTTCAGTGAAGGACAGCAAAGTCCCCTACCCAGAGTCAGTACCTTATAAGATATTTAAAGTGATTAGTGGTATGGAAAATATTAATCCCTACTATTACCTTAAATTAAACTGGAGACATTGAATAGGATCATTGATTCAAAGTAATAAAAAGGATCCATATCAGGAATCTTTCTTCACACACACAATGATTAATGTGTGAAGTAACTTTCCAGAAAAAGTAGCAACAATTGCAAAAGCAACAAAAGTAAGCTAACAGTTGAATACCACAGTGGATGTTATATCTTTTAGGACTGATATATTACAATGCCCTTCATTACCTGTAATCTTGTAATCTTAAAAAATATTCAAAAGTTGAGATGTAAGTGAGTAGTCATTCATTTTAGAATTGTTCCAGTTGTGATTGTCTTAGTATTAAACAATACACCTTTTCTTCAAAGACTTAAGTCATATAGAATTCAACTTGCTGGTTGTACGTTCATTTCTATGATCAACTCACTGTTTGTGGAGCCTAGGCTGTGCTTATTTAATTCTGTGCCTAATTTTAGGCTTCTGAACTGTCTACTGGTTTAACCACATGAGATTGTATTGTCATACAGGTAACATATTGACATCTGGAGTGGTACCAGATCCAGCAACATGTCCAGTAGTCCCAGGACAGGAAACTACCCTGGAAATTTCGAAAGGACGTTCTGGTCTCGGTCTCAGCATTGTGGGTGGAAGAGACACATTGTTGGTGAGTAACCTCTTCTGAGGTATTAGGAAAGGTGAAAACAAAGAGCATGTGATTCATGGAGGTGAATTGAACATACTGATCCATATACAGTTATCCTCACTTAACATTGTGGCTTCATTCTTGAGAAAAGCTGTTATAAAGGTGTGGAAAATATTACCCTGAAATGGGAATCATGCATTCTTATAAGAATCAATATAAAAGCTGGAGTTAAGTTAATTCAGTCATTTTCTTGCCCAGAAATAAACGAAGTACTGGAATCTGGCTTGTCTAGTATTATCGTCACTTGAATCTCCTTGCAACCTTAATATCAGAGCTGGAATTCCCCCAACAGCCACTCTTCAGTCTGGTATCAGAGTTTGAATTCTCCCAGCTCCTGCTATTGTTGCCAAAATCGGAGTTTGAATCCTCCCAGTTGCCACCATTTCTCCTGGTTTTTGGAGTTTAATTCTATGAGCAGTTGCTATTCCTGCTGGTATCGAGCTGTTTGAATTCACCCTGCACTTGCTGTCAGGTCATGCAATGTCCTTTTGAAATGTCATCTGAAAAAAAGTTACAGCTAATACCAGTTTCTTCGGTGAGAGTACTTTACAGGTTTCTCTGTACTGCTATCCCTAACTTAAGATCTGAAATATAAGAAAAGATAATCTAGACAGTGAGTTCAGTATAAAATATATTTTTTAATGTATTGTTCAAAACCCAATTTTGGGCATTGGAACTTTCTTTATTTGAAGAACAAAACGGTGGATAGTACTGTTTGAAAAGCACTTGAGTAAATTTATTTGTCCTAAATAATGAATTATTTACAAATGAATGGAGTCTGTTCCCTGGCATTCTCTCTGTGCCAGCACTTACTTACCTAACTATCCACTGCAACTCATCACTAGTGAGCAAATCAGCAGCAAGTTTGGGAGGGAACCAGACTGTGATTAGAGGAGCAGCTGATGATCCTTCCCTTCCATTCAACTTCTGGGGGCAACTTTTCACCAATTGGTTACCCCAGGAATGAATTTCCCTAGGTATCTTGGGGACTTTGGGAGTGGATTGGCTGTTGTTGGCATGCATTTGCAAATGGGAAAGCATGTTTGATTAACTTGTCAGAGTTTTTTTTTAATTATGTTGCTTAGAAAATAAGACAAAGGGCAGTTGATCAATGTACTATACTTAGATTTTCAGAAGGCTTTCAACAGCATCTGCTACAGGAGATTGATTGGAAATACTAAAGCACATGAGATAAGAAGTAATATCTGGTATGGATTAACAAGACAGAAAACAGAGAGTACGAATAAATAGGACATTTTCACATTGGCAGACTGTGACTAGTGGAATACCAAAAGGATCAGCATTTGGGCTCCACCTGTACACAATATTTAGCAATAATTTGGTTCTGGGGACCAAATATTTCCAAATTTGTAGATGACTTAAACATAAGCGAGAACTATTGTGGTGAAGATGTAAAGTGCCTTCAGGAGGATTTGGGAAGGCCTTGTGAGTGGGTAAGAACATGATAGATAGAGTATAATATGGAAAAATGTGAGATTTTGATAGGAGGAGAAAATGCACAGAGTATTTCGTAAATACTAAGGGGTTGGAGGTATAGATATACAAAGGGTCAATCAGTCATTGAAGGGTAACAACTATTTGGAATGCTCTTGAAACATTAGCCTTCATTGCAAGAGCTGATGATGACTCACTGGACTTGAAATGTTGACTCTGCTTTCTTTCTACAGATGCTGCCAGAGCGGCTCAGTTTATCCAGCAATTTCTGTTTTTGTTTCAGCTTTCCAGTATCTGTGGTTCTTTGTTTTATTTTAGTGTAATGGGGCATGCCTAAGGATAAGATGTCAATGTGGTGAAGCTACGTTAACTAAAGTTTTTATGAAATCTCTTAATGAACCTAATTTTCATTTTCAAGGAAGAGGGTGACGTTTCTATTTTTCCAAAATCACTGATGCCAGGAATGACATCCTGATACACCACCTAGGCCCAGTATTTCAGGGTTTCCTGACTTCCTCAGCTTCTATTCATTCAGTCTACAATCATTATTATACAGAAGGAAGCCCATTGCTCCATCATATAATACAAATATGTTTTTGTATGATAGGTAATTGAATGCCACTTTGTTAAATTATGAATGTTTTCATTTTGTAAATGTTTTGTTTCATCAAATTTTAACCCCAAACGGCCTAGTATTCAAATGAGGGGATGATGAAAAGGGGATATTGAATATTGATCTAGATCCCAGGTTTTACAAACTCTGCTCATGTTAAAAATCATTGTTACCAATCAATGCCACATGGGTTAGGGAGAAATTGGGTAAGACTGTCAGCGACACTTCCTCGTCTCATAGTCTCCTGATGCCTTCTGTTGAGATTGACACATCGTGAAGGACTGATTGGGAAAAATAGTGGTGGGTCACTGACACCTATCGGATAAAATAATAGTTAATGCATTAAGGTGAGGAATGGGCAGAAAAGAGAAGAAACCTGGAGAATAAACTGTAACAGCATCAAAATTAAAAATGCCACATTGTTGTAATTCTGAAAATGATCAGGTAATTGATGTGTAGTTTGCAAAGTCTGTTGGTCACAGGCAACCATGGGAAGTTGCAGAGCAATGGCTTGAAAATGTTTAGTTTAATACTGACATTACTTAAAGGTAGAAATTCTGAATTCTAGTAATAGCAACCAGTATATGATCTGTAAAGACTAAGCTAGTATTGTATCCTATTGCTTTACCTGGGCCTTGCAAGAAAGGAAATGTCCCACTGGATAATGTAGTTTGTCAATACATTACAATTGCTGATCTGTTACTTAAATTTCCACTTTCAAATTTCAAAGTAAACAATGTCTACACACAGATGTATGTACTTGCGTGAAACGTATGGGGCCTTGGACAGTGATAAAGTAGGAAGTCAGCTGCTGCCAGGGAGGTCTGTCTCCATCTGGCTTTCTGGCACCATGGCCAGCATTGCTTGTGGGCTTGGTGAAACAGCAGATGTGTTGTCATCCTGAGGGCAATATGTCTCCTTCCCATGGGGCAGCAATTCTTTATTTCCACTGGTTCTTGGGAGTGTTAATCAGTGGGAGAGAAAATGCTCCCAGACCTTTTGAAGGAGCTGAATATATTGCTTTACTGAATTGCATCAATTTCAGCTTTGTTTAAAGTTGTAAGAACTACTGATATAAATATAGCAAAACCCATGTAATATGCCACCTGTTCCATGGTAAACTGCTGATGCCTTACAACAGAATACCACACAAGCTAGAAACTGACTCCTACACATCCTGAAGAATGGCTTGGCAGCTTCTATGTAGGTTATCCAACACTATAAATTGTGATGTTAAAAAGCAACAGAAATGTGAATGTAATTGGAAAACAGATGAATGGAAAACTGAAACTGCTGGTAACACCCAGCAAGTCACCCAGCATTTGTGGAGAGAGAAACACAATTGATGTCTCGGACAGGTCGTCATCTGAAGCATTCAGGTCTAATCTCCAGCATCTAAAGTATTTTGCTTTGATAAAGGACTGAAGGGCTTTCAAGTTGCTACTAAATAAAATCACAAGACTATTTGGGCTGTTGTGAGAGCATTAGCAGTAGGTGGGAAGAGAACTTTAATGAAGAAGGTTCTGTACAGATACAAAACCAGTATTTTTAAAAACGTCCAGTGATTGTGTTAGTGCCTCAAGGAATGGATATCAGGTTCTGAAACAGTGCACTTAGAAAAACTGTTTGACCTTCTAGTTCTAATGTCAATCTGCAGAAGACTTTTCTACTTTCCACTTTCATTGCTGCTTTCTCTTACTTTATTTATTCAGGGAACAAATCGAGCATTTAATGAATACCACTGGGATTTGTTTAAACTGATTAGGAAAGCAAATTCCAGATGCGTACAAATGTTGGTAATGCTAAATGATAATTATGGTTTTATTTCAGGATGCAATAGTTATTCATGAAGTATATGAAGAGGGTGCAGCTGCTAAAGATAACAGGCTTTGGGCTGGGGACCAAGTCTTGGAGGTGAGTGCAGCAGTAGCACTATATATCACAGTATATTTTGGACACACTGTGGATAATGACAAAACATTGTAGTCATTGGCAATTATTTCCAAAATGCTAATTCATTTATTGTAGCTTGCCTTCCCACTATATCACTGAATCCTGTTGTCTGTCCAGGAACACACGTGCTTTCTTCATGAATTTGTTAACACTGATTAATTCATTGATCTTCCACTACTTGCTAATTTCAAAGATCTTTTACTCTTTGGGTGAAAGTCTCCCAGGTGATTAATTTCTACTCCAGTATTTGAACTGAATCATCACATTGAACAAATTGTCTGCATTAGTTCAGCCAATTGTCAAAAACATCTTGACACCAATGGATCTCCTCAAAGAAAGTCCTTTCAAATAAATCAAGTCAAACGTCACTTTTATTGCACAATAATTACTTGACATGAAATCATCAAAATATCCACAGAAAGGCGGTGGTAGTATCCCTACATCTGGACCACAAAGTCTGATCCAAAAGTGTTTAGTAACATCTCTGAACAGATTGCTTAGAAAACTATATCGTAATAAGTGTAATTTTATGTTCGCCTTTAGCTGCTAAAATTGTGTGCCAATGGTCAACAACTGTTTGAGAAAATTATGCATGTAATCTATTCATCAGTATATAATGCAGTCAATGGCAAACATGATATTTTGGTTTTTTCTTAAATTGTGGATGATACAAGTTTTTCAGGGTGCCAGGAATGGTTAGTATGGGCAATTATTTTCCAAACTCTAGGACAAGCTACACTGACCCAGTCCTGAACATTGTTCTTAAGTTTGAAAGACAATCTTGCAACACTTAATATATTTTCTGTTTAAAGAAACCACGTTATAGATGGTAAATAAATAGTTAGTCAATTTTGTGGTTATCAAGTGTCAATTTGTAACCCTATTAATGATAATAAAAGTCTAGTTCAGGTTAATCTGGGATAGTTTAACTCCTAGTTTGGTCACAATTTTCTTCAACACATGTCAGAGCAACAATCAGTTTAGAATTAAGTACTTTGAACTATCATCTTTTAAATCTTTCCAGAACACATCTATCCTCCGGACTGCCTTTTGAGTTTCTAGACATGTCATTGTGTTCAAGGTGATTTAACTGTAGAGTTTCCTTTCATCTTAACATGACTGTTCCCTTGTTTAGAAGGCATCAAAGACATTTAAACTTCTGGTGCAATAAGAGACTTAGTATGTTTTCCTTTAAAGGTCCCAATAAATTATTTTACTAGGATAACAAATGACTGAGCAGTGCTTTTGTGGATAATGTGAGGTTGGGTGATGACATTATGACTGCACAGCTGAAATAAATATAAAAATCCAACTTTTATATTATTTACTATTGTAACGAATCATGATTGTAGTAGATTGATTAAAAATACTTGATTACAAGCACAACCAGTTGGGTTACAGCTGCTTAACTGATGCTGCTTTGTTAAGAAGTAGAACAGTTGGAATATAAGTGTTTATAGAAACTGTGGAGTGTTCATTAGGGCATCAGAAACTGCTAACTTGCCTGTTGGTGCACAGGATAATCATCCTAACAAACATCAGGGTTAAATTTCTGAGGTTTTGCTGCTGATGCCTTTCACTAAAAACAGTTCTTACACCTTGCGTACCTTGAAAAATAATGCAGAAAATTTACAGCAAACGAACAGGTCACTTGGCCCAAGAGGTCAATGTCAGTGTCTATGTTCCAGATGAGCTATCTCCGCATTAAGTATGTGTTTATCTGAGCTGTTCTTTGTTATTAAACAAAACAATACTCTGGTTACAGCTTTTGAAAAATATACCACCTGTTATGGTAAAAGGAAAATAATGCATGAAGAGAAGTGACTGTCAAACTGAAACATGTTTTTCATGTATCTAATGGAATATAAATGACGGCTAGAGAGCATAAACTAAGCCTTTGTTACTGATCTCTGCATTCTCGTTCAAACTGTAAGCATAACTTGACATGCCAGCATTGTGATGTGTGTTTTGTTCATTGTAAATCTGCCCAATTCCTGCTAAATCTGTTATTTTAAGAACAGTTAATCAGGTTATGATAGGTTTTACAAGTGGCTCATTATTATCAGAAACTTGTCTTTTCTCAAATGAAAATGCCAGGACCCATCCATCCATCTGTTCAATCATCTGTAAACGTTGAAGGGCCCACAAAGGAGCAGATTAGTCAAGTCACTTCTTGGCATCAGTCATAGAAAAATGGGAATATCAAAAGCTGTACCTGTGCCTATGCATGCAATTGCTTGGCACGTGAAGGGGTTTTACTTCTGCTTTAATTGTTCTTTTTTTTTAAAAGCTGCAGGATTTTATTTGCACTTTAAATGTTCCATTAATAGCATGTAGATTAATGTTGGTTATAAAACTAGCATTTCTCATTCTAATAGGTTGGCATAAATTAATTAATTATTAATTTTCCTCAAATTTCTCTCCCTCATTAACTGTCTTTTTTTGGAATTTGTTGTAAGAACCAAAGACCGAACCTTCAGTCTTCCCAGTATTTAATTGAAGGAACTTGCTGTTCATTCTATTCAATACTGGATGCTGGAAAAACAGTCTGACAAGCTCGATGTAATGGAGCAATCGCGTACAATAAGGGTGTAATAATACTGGTTATCATCAGCACATGTGTGAAAGCCATGTTTTAGGATGTTGTTGCTGAGGGGCAGCATGCAAGAAGGAAATAGAAGAGGCCAAAATAAAATCCTCGGGGACACCGCATGTAGCAGTATAGGAACCAGAAGAGAAGCCATTTCAAGTAACTATGACTGGAATTAGAAAGATAAGAATGAAACCAGGCAAGTGTAGCGCAACCCATGGCACGTTTCATCTCTTAGGAATAGATCGACATTTGTTCCCACTGATCTGCTGTTTCCACATAGCCACGCACATTTTGTCCCATCAAGTCTTTATCCAGATCCCTTTTCAACCTTACTATTGACTCTCCTTCCACCTTTTCAGTCAACACATTCAAGGTCATAATAACATGTTGTATTAAAAAGAAATGTACTTCTCCTTTATGGTTCTTTTGCCAATTGCCTTAAATCTTCCAGTTACTGACCTTCCTGCTAGTGGAGGCAGTTTTCTCTGGTGATTCTATTTGACTACTTCCATTAAATTTCACCTCAACCTTCATCACCCTGAAGAAAACAATTCCAATGTCTCTAGCCTGTCTGCATAACTAAAGTCCCTGATCCCTGGTACCATTAAAATAAATATTCTCAGCATTCTGTTTATTTTGATTCTCTTAAGTAATCAATAACAGTGTTTTACCTGTAAACTTCCAGTTTGGAGAAAAAAATCAACATAGACATCAATTCTTACATATGCTTCCAAAAATTCTCCTTTACTTGATTGTCTCCTCCTCTGCATCTTGCCTTTACTTCCTATGACTGATTACTGATTTGTTACTTGGCATTTCTATATTTTAGGACTTGCTATCAATCGCATGCAAGTAAATTGTGCAGAAATTGCATGCATTAGGAGGTGAAATGCCAAAGTATGGCACTAGAATTTTGACTGACCATCAGGATATGCACGCAGCTTATTCTGCTACTTATGAATGTTTCAAATGTATCCTTGCCACACTTAACAGTTAACCCTTTTTGTTACACCCTTGAACATGGTATAAAGAAGTTACAATACAAAATCATTTCCTCAGATTTTTTTCTGACTCTGACAGTGGGTATTTACTTGCAGCTCTGATGTGCAAAAAGCAATTAGGGATCATATGTTAAACCTCCTGGAGCAAGGTACTGTGGAGTAAGGAGTAGCAGTTAATTGAACCAAGGCCAAGGAAGGACTGTAATGTTAGAGGCTAGAAGGAGCCAGAATCTGAAAGATAGAAAAAGGGAAGTAAGAGACGAGGGAGAATAGCGAAGGAAGTTCAGGGTTTAAGGTTATGCAGGGGAATGGTGGTGGAATGCAGGATTGAACAGAATGATTAGAAATCAGGGTGAATGAAAATGTTGTAACATGGTTAGAGGTTAGGAGTTGGGGAAGGAGGGAAATGGAGAAAGCAGTTTGAAACCAATGACTGAGAGCAGCACAATGTAGGGTTAGTAACTAGGGAAAGAGTGTAGCAAAAATATGTGCAATAAGAATCCAGATGAGACTTAGAAACCCAGAAAGGTTCGGGAGCAAAGTTATGAAAAATAGACAGGGTACAGAATTCCAGTAGAATCATCTGCACTTCTACAGGTAGAGACTGAGGTCTCCAGCTGTAGCTGGGAGACAGATGTTGTGACATAAAATAAAACAAAGAACTGCGGATGCTAAAGATGTGAAACAAAAACAGAAATTGCTTGCAAAACTCAGCAGATCTGTGGGAAGAAAGCACAGTTAATGTTTCAAGTCTGGTGAGTGTTGAAGTTCTCACGAAGAGTCGATGGATTTGAAATGTTAACTGCTTTCTTCCCTTAGATGCTGCCTGACCTTCTGAGTTTTGCCAGCAATGTCTGTTTAAGATGTTGTAACATCATTGGTAGAGTACTGACTAGAAATCAAAAAGAATCATTACTTCACCATTTGCTGTGTCTAAACATTTGGGCACAAATTTCCAAACATTCAGAAATAATGTAAATAGAGGAAACTCATGTCCTGTGGTGTTTGTTTTATGCAGCAGAGTTACTTAGTGAGCTCGGTTGTGATTTGTCATATGTAAATCATGTGCAAAATAAATACTGTAGAAAGTTAAGTGCATAAGATTTGATGTAAAACTAGCCTGTAAGTTACTTGAGTAGCTATTTCCTCAGTAAAACTGGTTCAATATGGCTCTATTGTTATTGTTGTTATCGCACTGAAAGTTATTGCAGGAGCCTGTGCCAGGAGCTAGGTATCTGAGAAAGTAAATATGCCACAGTTGAATTTTGCTTCATATGCTGTTTAACCTTTGTGGTGCAGGTAGACTTCATTTACAAAAGTAAAAGATTTCAGATTTGCTTTGAGTGATTATTCTTCTGGATAATTAT